AAAACAGCTATTGTCATCTAAGGTGTTGGCCCACTACGATCCCAAGCCATATCTGGTGCTGACATGCGATGCCTCCCTGTATGGTATTGGGGTAGTGTTGGCTCATAGATGGTCCAACAGAGAGCAATGCCTGTTAACATATGCTTCCTGGACTTTGGCTGATGCTGAACGCAAATACGTGCAGATGCAGAAGGAAGATTTGGCAATAATCTTTGGTGTGAGAAAGTTCCACCAATACCTTTACAGATGTAAATTTGTAACAGCAACAGATTACAAACCCCTGCTAGGGCTACTTGAAGAGGGGAGTGCCGTGTCACCCATAGCTTCAGGTTGAATTCAGCGATGGGCTTTCATTCTAAGTGCGTGCAATTACAAATTGGAACACCGTCTGAAGGTCAAGTAGCAAATGCGGATGCCTTCAGCTGCCTCCTACAGGCAGATACACAACCAGTGGTGCCATCACTAGAAAAGTCCATTCTGGCTTTAAACGTCCTGGACACCATTCCAGTCACCGCTGACAATCAGACTGTGGACACAAAAAGATCCTGACCTGCCAAAACTACATCAGCTGATGGTGATGGGGATGGGGAAAACAAAAGGGCCATCACAACCAGAACTGAAACATTTCTGGACCAAACGAGACCAGATCACCATAGAGGACGTCATATTATTATGGGGAGCAAGAATGATTGTCCCAAGCAAAGGTCGCCACCAAATACTGGCTGAACTCCACCAGGGTCATCCAGGGGTTTCCAAAATGAAGATGTTGGGAAGAAGTTATGTCTGGTAGCCAGGATTGGATGCTGACATAGCTGTGTTGGTGGGGCAGTGCCCAGAATGCTGACAAAGACAAAAATTATGTCAACAGCTCCCCCACATTCATGGGAATGGCTGGTTAAACCCTGGACTCAGTTACACGTCGACTATACAAGTCCTTTCATGGGCCCAATGTTCTTAGTCATTGTGGAACACATTCAAAGTGGTTGGATGTGCATTGAGTTCATTTGTCAAACACAGGGGTGACAATTGAAAAGTTGTGAGCATCTTTTGCAATACATAGACTCCTCGAGGTGTTGGTAACAGAAAACGGGACAGAATTTACCAGCAGGGAATTCAAGTATTTCCTAACATCAAATGCCATTCAACTTGTAAGGACAGCTCCATACCATCCATCGTCAAATGGTCTGGCAGAAAGAGCAGTCCAAACTTTGAAGGCAGGCTTAAAGAAACAGCCTACAGCTTCACTCGATACCAGACTGTCCCGGTTCCTATCTGATTATCAGACCACCTCTCATGCAACTACAGGTACAGCTCCAGCAGAGTTGCTAATGCAGAGGTTAGGATGCCAGGTTAAATCTGATCTTCCTGAACC